ATTTATTTATTTTATTTCTACCCCGCCTATCTGGTCATTGCGACCACTCTAGGTGGCTTCTAGACAAATTTACATACATACATACATACATACATACATACATACATACATACATACATACATACATACATACATACATACATACATACATACATACATACATACATACATACAAAAATAAAAAATATAAAACAAACAATATTTAACTAATTCTGTTTTTAATTCACTTCTTTTTCATATCGCGAGCCACCTCGGGTCCCCGTATCAGGAGGAAGGGGGCCCCTAAATAGTGAATAATAATGCAATAGTGCGGGGTCGCAGGGAACTCCTCCACTTTTAAAACAAAGACATAAGCTTCCTAGATTGGCTTTTGGCTTCTTTCCCAGTCAGTGGAAGCTGGAAGCTATGGAAAAATTGGCCCCAATGTCAGTTGTTATCCATTCTTTTCTACATCATGTAACATGGAGCAGACTTGGAAAAAAGAGAAATGGAAAACTACAGAAATTTCTGCAGCCTAACTCACCTTACATGTTACATTGTCTGTGCAACATAGGTAGACTCTCTCTTCCATTGCATGAAAAGGAAAGCTCTGTTTATGAGCCAGAATTGGGCGGTCAGTGGGTTTTTTTCCCCCCAAATCCTGTGGCTTCCATTCTTTAACTATCAACAACCCCTTTTTTTTCCCTGTGAAAATGTGCCCAGCCCCTTAAACACCAGGTCTTATAATGTCTGTGATTTTCAGTGTTGCCTTTCCATAATTCACACTACCATTCAATTAGGTTTGTGTGTGTTTTTCTCAGTCACTATCTCCCTTTTGGAAGGGAAAAAAAGTTAATTAATCAGAGCTTTGTCAATTTCCCTGTGCCCTGTCAATTTGTGGTGAGGTAATTAATCACTAATCATCATCCAGTCAGCGGCAAGCAAAGGGACGATCCGTGAGCCATTTAACGTCTCTTTGAAAAATAAATGGCACACGCTGCCACACAGCAAATATATCTTGTCTTTTGCAATATTTTATCGACACTTCTGCATGTTGTAATAGACTGAAGCAACAATCAGCTGTAGTTCAATGCAGTATGAATATTAAAGGAACAAATGGGAACAGATTTATAGGCTATTGCTTTCCTGTTATGTCAGTTTGGAGATTACACCAAGCAAATGAACAGTGAAAAATTACTCTTCCATGTGGGGAATGGTGATTAAACTTGTACATTAATTAGAGATTTTGTGTGTGTGAGTGTGTATGTTCATGTGTGTTTTGGTTTTCAATGAATTTCAAATGAGAACAGCCTACGAGAAACAGTTTGTCTAAAACACAACACAGTTGAATATTGGAGTCCCGTTTAGCACAATGGCAAAATTAACCATTGTTTCGGTATTCCCGAATTAACATTGTCAGGAATAAGTACAGTGTGAATTTTAAAAGAAAAACACGACGGAAAAGAATTCTAAGGCAACTGGAAATGTCCTCCCATCTCAGAGATCTGCAGGATTTGGCCAAGGCAGAGTTTTAGCTTTGGACGTGACTTAATATGATGGAGAGTTAATACTGATAGCCGCTTAACACTTGTGTGACCTTCCCTTGATGATGGAAATAATGGCTTGCTTGAGTGTGTGGACAGTCAGTGATGGCTTGAATATTATTGGGTAGCCAGTGTCTTCATTGACAAGAAACCTTGGTGAAGAAGTCTAAAACCCAACAAAGACCTTCCCTTCCACGTGAAGGGTGAGACAAAAGAGTTCTCTTTCTGTTCCTCAAAGTCTCTGGAAGTTACATAAAACATCTCTAGTTTCCCTTTAGTTTGAGAAGAAAGGCACAGCCAGACAGAACAAGCACAGAAGGTCAGGGCGATGGTGAAGAAAGATGCAAAAAGTGGCATTTGAGCAAAAGCAGTCAAGAAATTCCTAGCTGTCTTCCCTCATGCAGAGAAGATGAGAGAGGGGAGGATTTACATCCCTGGAACACACCCACAAATGTTGGTCCGTTGACAGAGTCAACTAAGGTTCCCATTTGGATTCGAGCTGCAACCAACAGTTTACCACAGAGCCTTCACTGCTGCCCCTTTTTCAGATTTGGCGTCTGGTAGGAATGAGATTTTTGGATTTCTTTTACCATGAATCCTACAATTCTCCACTCTGGAAAGGGACTCGCCAGGCGTTTCCTCCAGGTGAACCTCATTTGGGAAGCTAAACGCATCAACGCTGAACCTTTAGTATTATCCAACTTCTCAGTCCTTTAAATGCTTAAAAACGGGCTCTTAAATTTGCTCAGAGATGACTTACAAAGCCTACATCAGTGGCACCCAAACTTGGGTCTCCAGATTTTCTTGGATGAGAACTCCCCAAAATCCTGGCCCGCCTTGGGTGACTCGGTATGTAACGAAGAAATACACGCTGGCTTTGTAGGTTGCTACAGTTTGCTGTCAAATGATACACCGTTTCTGTTATTTATTTTTATTTTATTTCATTAGATTTCTACCCCACCCATCTAGACCAAAGGTCTACTCTGGGTGACATTACGGTGCTAAAAGGATAATAAGATTTGTGCCATCAGCATGGCCAGTTTTATCCAGGCTGGAGTCCGTTTTGGTGTTTGGCCAATGATGACAGTAATGACTTTACCTAGCATGTACGTAGCGCCTTGCGGCCTTCAGCACTTATTGCACACCATTCCATGGTTTGTTACATGACACCAGTGGGTCGTTACAACCTTGGGCCCCCCAGATGTTCTTGGACTACATCTTCCAGTAATCCTGGCCAACACAGCGAGTGATGAAGGCTTCTGGGAGTTTTAGTCTGAGAACATCTGGGGACCCAAAGTTGGGCACCACTGTATTATTATGCTAGTAATACTATATTCCCATACAGCTTCCCAATCATCCGTAGTTGCTTGGCATTAACAAGGCTGATGCCTCAAAAGTGTTTCTTTCGGACCTCATCACATTAGCTCAGTAATCTTCTCAGCACCGCTGTAATGCAGGTCATTAGTGAGGTGGGAAGAAAGAGGCAGCTAAGTGGATATTGCTTTGCCTGAGGCCAACCAGGCTGAGATGAGAATCAAACACTAGCAATTCCCCAGCTAATCCCTCATGTGTGTGTGTCAATGTTTGTATTATGTGCTCTACATAGCTCTCGGTTTTGAATACCGTTGGACACAGTGGCAGTGGGATTTAGGGACCGTAATCCAGAAAAGTAACTTTCCTAAGCCCTCTTGAGCTCTTTCTCTCCCTTATTTCTCTATTAACTATTTTTTTAAAAAACCTATTTCCACCCTTCCTTCCTTTCTTCGAACTTTAGAGGGGGAAGAGAAAGAGTGGAACATTGAATCCAGACATTTTGGACCCTGGTCTTTTATTTTCATTTAAGCCCCATCTTGGAAAATGTTTCACAGAACCAGTGGAAAATCCATCGGTGGCTTGGCAACATGTCTGTGTTTCATTTAAGCTTTCTATGTATCATTACCTCTAATCATTTGTTTTTATTAGGGTTTGTTCAGTAATATTTGTTTTCCACCCTCGCTTGATTAAGACGCTGGCTCCAGAATCTATCCTCTAGCTATGCTCTTGACATTCATTTCAGGCAACAGGGGCTCCCTGTTTGCTTTCTTGCTCTCAGGGAAACTCATTAATTCTCACATTTTTAAAATAAAGAGTGTGAAGAATATATTGTCTGCATTTCCTCCCCATGTTCATGTTTAGGCATCAGCTTAATGCCACTGGGCTTAAGAGTCCATTTAGACAGAACCTCCAAAAAAATCTCTAATTTAGTCCCTATGAGACAAACAAGGGTTAAGTAAGCTTACTGGGTAGCTTTGTTGGAGCACCTGGCTGTGGAGCCAGGAGCTGGGAGTTCAATTCTCCCACTAGATAGATAGATATCTATCCCAATGTGCTTTCTTGGAGAATAGCCAGCCTGTATACCATATTTTTCCATATATAAGACACCACATCCAAAATTAAGAAAAATAAGTGGAGCTTAGCAAGTGTAGGGGGAAAGGGATCAAAGCGCTGCAGGATCGCTTTGATCCCTGCTTTCCCCTCCACTTGTTTTTGTTCTCTCACCAGCTTACATCCGTGTATAAGACGAGCCTCAAATTTCCGTCTAAAGATTTTAGACAAAAGTATAGTCTTATACCCGGAAAATTAGGGTAATTTGGGGCAAAGCTATAAGATCCTAAAGCAACACCATAAGAAGGGAGTGGCCAATCACCTTTGAGTGCATTGTATTTAGGATCATAGCAAGGGGTCATCATGAGTTGGAATCAACTTGAAGGGACATAATGGATTAGACAGGTGAACAAGAGCGGGTGCTCTGTTCCACCTGTGCAAGGTCTTCCCATCAGTGAGAACACTGGGAAGCCTTCATGTGCAAGAGGTATTTTTGTTTCTTTGGCACTTTTCATATGAACAAAATGTTCATATTAAAAAACTTCATATGTGCCCAGCGTTTAAGAAAATCTACTGTGAGGAGTGGATTCTGCCATAGTGACAGATTATGGGTGTTCCATTCAGACCCAATCTCTTTAGAGGAAGTCAGAAAGATTAGGGCAAGACAGAGAATGGAGTTGCTTCCCACAACATTTTTCACTCTTTGTTGAGTGGAGATGCATACCTCCATTTTGTGATGGCATTTTAATCTTCTCTGGGCTTTAGTCTGAATTTCACAGCTCTACAAGGTGCCATGTCCACGATGGAGCTTCAGCACCTTGGAGAGCACCTGTGCAATTCCAACCAATTCCACAAAACGGGAGTCTCCTCCTGTTTCACTGACATCCCAACTTTTATTACCCTGGATTCCTGACTTGAGCAGGGCGTTGGACTTGAGGGCTTCATAGGCCCCTTTCGACGCCATTATTCAATGCTTCTAACCAGTTGTAGAGGGTGTGTTTTCTTTTCCGGCGTGGAATGAACCAACGGAATGAAATTTTGTCCTTGCGAAACCGATCGAAGGAGTCTCTCCGGTGATCCAACATGTCCTCTTCTCGTTTGTCTCTTCTTTAGTGCCGGGCTTCCCCTATCCAGCCGCCACTGCTGCCGCAGCATACAGAGGGGCGCATCTCAGAGGTAGAGGCCGCACCGTCTACAACACATTTCGCGCGGCGGCTCCCCCTCCCCCCATCCCAGCTTATGGCGGGTAAGTCCCATCTCCTTGCCGTCTCCTTCCCTGCTCTCCGCCGGCCCTGCCCGCTCTCCCCTCCCTTCCCCTCTCCCCCCCCAAAAAAGCAATTGAGCATTTATGAGCGCCATGCATGATGGTCTTGTCTCGCCACACAAACCTCACACAGCATGCCACCAATCTCCGTTGCCTGAAGTAGAGCACCTTGTGTACGGGGTTGACAAATGGTAGTAATTTGCACTGTCATGGTTTGGTGGCTTTAAAGCATTTTGTGCGTCCCATGTTGTTATGTAAATTCCCCTTGAGAAGGAACGCTGGAGAGAAAGAGACGATGAGACACAGAGAGAGAGAGAGAGAGGAAAGGAACTTCGTTGAGGTAGAAATATATATTTGGATGATTGCAAACAGCTGGTTACTGTGGAGGCTGAATCGCATTTTAAATCTGCCTCGGCAAAGTTTGACTCGTAACAACCTTTAATTTATTATATGCTGTTCTTATTATCACTTGAAAATGATGGTTGAAGAGTGCGTGGAAATGCATCACACCAGCCAGGCAGGCACCCTGAAGCTTAGAGAAAGGAACCATTGGCCAGCATACTGTTTCTTGGTGTAAGCTGAATTGTAACTTTTGATATGTTGATCCCCTGTAAACCGATAGCTCTCACCATGTTTCCTGGGAGCACAGGTGCCCCAAGAATCATAGCCATTTTGGACATTGTTTTTTCTCCCTACATTCTCCATGCTTGATGAACTCTTCCTTC